TCTCCCTCTCTCTCTGCCCCTCCCCCGTTCATGCTCTGTCTCTCTCTGTCCCAAAAATAAATAAACGTTGAAAAAAAAAATTAAAAAAAAAAAACAAATATATGTTTCTTTTAAATCTTTCCCACATGTGGTTGTCATTCAAGGAGAGGGAAAAGCAGTATACATAGACGTCACAGGGTCTGATCAGGATGCACTTAAATGTAAATGGAATAGGCAGTGTCTTCTGAAAACCTTTCCTCTGCCTCCTTCCTCACCAGCTAAAACATTTGCTCCACGGATTCTGGAAACTCCATTGTTAAAGTTCAGTCCACTGACTTTATACTGACAAGAAGAGAGTGAACAGAAAGTTGAAGTGCAAAACCACACTCTTTGGAGTAAAACACACCCAGGCTTCAACCTCAACTCTGCCATAGATAATTGGGCATTCTTCTAACAAATCCAAATCTCAGATTTTAACCTTATAATAGATACACGATTACTGTGAGGCTTAAACGCAATGAAATTTTGCAGTTACTGAACAGAATAGACCCCTCATATATTAATTATTTCCTTTACTTGTGTGTGTTAGTACAAAATTCTTCTAAAAAATACAAATGGTCTTGAAAGAAGTCTTTAAAATGCAAATGTGTGGTAACTAAAGTTATAGGAATGAATTTATTAATTACTCCTACAGAACACAATAAATAAAGCAGCATAAAAATATTGGTTACCTGGTAGATGATGACATTTATAAAGAAAAATGGATCCAAAAAGCGAGGCATTGTTTTTCAGAACCAAACATTTCCCACTTGAGCTTCTACATAGAGTGAGTCCTATACCTAGCCCCAGTCTCTTCAAAACAATTTTTTTTTCTGAGACTATTACCTCTTTGGTAGTGCTATGCTCTTCAATAATATGGTAAGACAAAATACAGAAGCAGAACATATGCAGTAATTTCTCAATAGGTACACAGAAGAATGGATATAAATCTGTAAGAATTAATAGGAATAGCTGCTACTGACATGGTCTGACTGTATTATCAGAATCATTTTCAAAAAACTAGAAAGTATGTAAATACGTGGAAATGGTTTTCTGAGTTAAGTTTGTAGATATTCGCTGTGTTAGTACTTTCCATATTTAACTTCAAGGCAGGTTTTTATAATAATAATTGATCAAAAATATTTGCCTATAGAAGCAACCAGAAGGGCAACTGGTTAGAATGCATTGCTCTGAAAATGTACATTTTTATATAAAACCACTTGGGAATAGATGATACCAGTTAATATTGGCCCCTCTGTAGTCCAATCTATCTTTTACTAACAATGCACAGAGAGTGAAAGGTGATGGATAAAAGCAGCACTAAGACATTGTCTGAAGGCGAAACTTTCTGAAGGTTAAATACAAAGTCAAGGAGGGGCAGCTGGATGGCTCAGTTGGTTGAGCGTTTGACTCATGGTCTCACAGTTTGAGTTCGAGCCCTGCACCAGGCTCTGCGGTGACAGCTCTGAGCCTGGAGTCTGCTTCAGATTCTGTGTCTCTGTCTCTCTCTGCCCCTTCCCTGCTCACACTTTGTTAATCTCTCTCTCAAAAATAAATAAACATTTAAAAAATCTTTTTTTAAATATAAAGTCGAAGATGGCACGGAATTCTTGATTCCTCTCTGCATTTTATATTCATATTTTATGTGACAATGAAATATTTATTTTTGTTTCAATTATAATTGCTTCTTATTTCTTTTAATCTTCACTTCACTACTTGTTTCTTGATATAATTGCTTGGCTCTTCGCTCACGATCCAGAATTTCTTTGGGGAACAGGTTTTTCTCATCAAATACAGCGTTCAAAGCTACAAAATGATGAAGAAAATAACATGTAAATTATACTTGGTAAGAGGCCCAATTAAATGAAATAGTGGGGAGAAAATTCCCATTGGAATTCATCTGAAAATTTGTATGTTTCTAACACCAAGAGTGTATCTGGGGGGATTTTCTCTTAAGTTCCTGCTATTTCTTTGACTTCGGTTTAAATTAAAAAGCTAAATTTTAACAGAGTTTGTTCTATTAGTGTATTTATATCATGATGATTTCCACCACTTTCAGTAGAAGACTAAAGAAGCTTGTGTTTTCCATTTTTGCTTTTTCATCTACTTAGCAGCTATCAAAGACTCATAATAAGCCAAGAACAGATTATTCTGTATTGAAATAAGACAATGAAAACAATCAAAACGCAGTTTGACTGTCTGCACCACTAAACAAGCTCTTCTGCAATCACGTCCTTATAAGATACTTTGATCTACAGGGATCTGTGGCTTCCGAAAAAAAGAGCCAAATTATCCCCCATGAGTGGCCGTCTTATGCATCAGTGAGATGTAGGAGGAAATTGTGCCATGCATTCGAGAAAATAATTTTGGCCTTTTGCTTAATTCTATCATTTCAACAAATGCTTACTGGATGTATATTATGCACAATGTCCTATGCTTGGGCATAAATGAGGCACAGATATGACTCAGTCGCAGGCCTTCTTCCAACTGGTAGAAAGCAGGCACAGTGCCCAAATGACCAAAATATCAAGTACAATAAGTTACAGTTCTGAGAAAATAGGAGCAACAGAAATTTTGGTTAAGCATATAAAGAGATTGTAACAATATGCAGACATCAGAGGGAAAGCTTGAAGAATTAGACACTATTTGAGGCAGATTTTGAAGTCCAGATAGGATTCTAATTGATAAGAAGGGCCACGGAGGTGAAGAAGGGTTAGTAAGAGGGAAAGGAAATGTCAACGAGAGAGAACAAAGCAAACCAAAGTGTGGAGAAACAAGAGCCACCGTTCAGGTAATTCTGAATAATTCAGTACAATGTGACCAAGGTTCAAAACAGAGAGAGAATGAGGTTGGAGCGGGACAAAGGAATACTTTAAATGGCAACCCCGAGGAATATGAAATAAACTACATAAACATTGAACAACTTCACCGTATACTGCCATCTTTATATATATGAACTAGGGGGAAAAAAACAAAAAACAAAAAACAAAAAAAACCCTCTCCACTTCCCATATAAACATGATTGTATAAGTCAATATCCTTCCCCATTTTCTCTCGAATATTTTACTAGAACAACCAGGAAAAATGAAAACAAATAATAATTTGGCAAACAAACTCCACGTGAGTGAAGCCCAAAGATAGAGGTAACCTGCAGCCTGCAAAATAGGAACAAGGGCAGCCAAAGAGCTGTTACAGGAGATAAGGTGATGAGTCTGAAAGCGTAAGAAGGCCAGCAGCCACAGCATCTCAGAAAGTTCTAGCAAAAAGACACTGACTAAAAGTGAGGGGCTCACCCTGCAGTACAAATGCTTTATCTTTCATTTATATCTATGGATGCAAACACAGGTGAACAAGGCCGGAAGCAAAAGCCCTCCACGACACCTTGTTTGGCTCAGAGACACAGATGAGGCAGGGCTACGTGAAGAATCATGCACATGAGCCATTTTTTTCCTAAAAGCAGTTTGCCTGTCAGTTGTAAAAACTGAAGGCCACTCCAATCCCACACCACAAACTCTCCCCTAGGGACCTACTACAAACTTCAGGTCTAAAAAAATCCAACTCATTAAAACTAATTAAGACAGGAAATTTAAAAAAATGGCATAGAGTGGACACAAAGGACTATAAGCAAAATTAGAAACAAAACAAAACAAACTTTAAAAAGGGCAGAAGAGGGGCACCTGGGTGGCTCCGTTGAGCGTCTGACTTTGGCTCAGGTCATGATCTCACGGTTTGAACTCCAGGTAGGTCTCTATGCTGATAGCTCAGTGCCTGGAGGCTGCTTCAGATTCTGTGTCTCCCTCTCTCTCTGCCCCTCCCCTGCTTGCTCTCTCTCTCTCTCTCTCTCTCTATCTCAAAAATAAATAAAAACATTAAAAAAATTTTAAAAGAGAAGAATGAATCAATACATAAACTACCTCCAGAAATACGCTGCCACGCTGGCCAGATAAATATTGTTACTAAGCGCTTTGTCACAAACTATATTTTAAAACTCGAAAAAGCACTTATTTCTGTAAAGGAAGATCACAGAGCAGAAGTGAAAGAGCTCCGGAAATGTCACAACAGGAAGTGAGGAAAGTGAGCTGGCAGAGCTCAGGAAAAATCTCACAAGTGAGATTTTCACTCACAAGTGTGTGGTAACATAATGGGAAATGGAGTTTACAAATGAGACAAACAAATATAATAAGGTGAAAATGAAAAGAAGAGAAATGAGAGAGGAAAGTGACACTGAAAAAGAAATAGATTCAACCAACACAACAATCAGATGAGTCCTTCAGAACGAACACCAAAATGGAACAAATATTTGAAGGTATTATGTGTAAAGTTTTCCTTAAATTAGAGACAATCTGACATACACAGGAAGCACATACTGTGGCACCAGGAATAACAGAATCAGAAGTCAAACCGAAGCACATCTTCGTCAAATTATTAGACTTTAAAGATAATCATTTGACAGCCAGAAAAAATGATCAAGTCGCTTAAAAGGAGAGAAATGTGTATCTTGCATTAGATATCTTCACAGCAATGACCAATACCAGAAGAGAGAGCGACGCCAACAAGAAAATCAAGGAAAGTACGTGTGGAGTGTGGATATTATACACACTCAAGCTGCGCCTCAAATCTAAAAATACAGAAGTTTCAACAAATCTAAAAATGCAAATTTTCAACATTCAGGAAATTCGGGGACTATTGTTTCTAAGAGACCTTTTCGAGAAAACTACTACAAAGTAAACTGATGGATGACTGAGGAAAATTTAGAAAAAGACTTAGTGGAGAGTGCTCTATATTTTTAAATGTAGAAGTGAGATTAAAATAATATGAAGTGTAGGATAACAAAACAGACGGTAAATGCCACATGCCTGACAATGTCAAAATGATACAATTTAACAAAAACTGGAACGATTAGGGAGAAGCTTCATTCATGATAAATCAGCAACAGCTAAGAGACAAAGGACTTAAACCAACAAGTCAAGGAATAGTAGTATAAATAAATTTAACAAAATAAAAGAAGCACAAAAAAAGATCACATTGGTGAATAAAATTAGGTGGTAGAGGGGCACCTGGGTGGCTCAGTCGTCAAGGGTCCAACTTCAGCTCAGGTCATGATCTCACAGTTTGTGAGTTTGAGCCCCGTGTCAGGCTCTATGCTGACAGCTTAGACCCTGGAGCCTGCTTCAGATTCTATGTCTCCCTCTCTCTCTGTTCCTCCCCAGCTCACACTCTGTCTCTCACTCTCAAAAATACATAAATATTAAATTAAAAAAAAAAAAAGAAGAGAAAGAGGGGAGTGAAGAAACATGCTCATTTTATCATTAGTCAACATGGATGTAATGGTTACTGTCCTAGAAAACTGAAGGGCTAGAAGAGTTATACCAACCTATGAGTATAAAGCTACCACTAGAATGTATAATACCCTCCCCAAATAAAAACAAAGAAAAAATTACAGATCCAGTGAAAACTTTAAAACCCATATAACCAATGAATGACATAAAAAAGAGTGTGAGAAATATAAAACCAAACAATATATAATATATATTTTTATATATAATATATTGACAAATTTAAATGTGCTCAATATCATGATCATAAAAATTATTTTTTAGCTGGATCAAAAGCAAAACCCGGCACACATCTAAAATGAAGTGACTCCAAAAATTTGAAATAGAAGGATTTGAAAAGTATACCAGGAAAATCAAAACCCAGAGAAAGCAGAGGTCAAAATCTAAAATCATCAGTGCATACAGAAACCCTCAAAGGATACACTGAAACTCATATTGCTTCTGCACAGAAAAGGAAACAATCAGCAAAACTAAAAGGGCAACCGACAGAATGGGAGAAGATATTTGCAAATGACATATCAGATAAAGGGTTAGCATCCAAAATCTATAAAGAACTTACCAAACTCAACACCCAAAAAACAAATAATCCAGTGAAAAAATGGGCAAAAGACATGAATAGACACTTCTCCAAAGAAGATATCCAGATGGCCAACCGACACATGAAAAAATGCTCCACATCATTCATCATCAGGGAAATACAAATCAAAACCACAATGAGATACCACCTTACACCTGTCAGAATGGCTAACATGAACAACTCAGGCAACAACAGATGTTGGCGAGGATGCGGAGAAAGAGGATCTCTTTTGCACTGTTGGTGGGAATGCAAGCTGGTGCAGCCACTCTGGAAAACAGTATGGAGGTTCCTCAAAAAACTAAACATAGAACTACCCTACGACCCAGCAATTGCACTACTAGGCATTTATCCACGGGATATAGGTGTGCTGTTTCGAAGGGACACATGCACCCCCATGTTTATAGCAGCACTATCAACCATAGCCAAAGTATGGAAAGAGCCCAAATGTCCATTGATGGATGAATGGATAAAGAAGATGTGGTGTATATATACAATGGAGTATTACTTGGCAATCAAAAAGAATGAAATCTTGCCTTTTGCGACTATGTGGGTGGAGCTGGAGGGTATAATGCTAAGTGAAATTAGTCAGAGAAAGACAAAAATCATATGACTTCACTCATATGAGGACTTTAAGAGACAAAACAGATGAACATAAGGGAAGGGAAACAAAAATAATATACAAACGGGGAGGGGGACAAAACAGAAGAGACTCATAAATATGGAGAACAAACTGAGGGTTACTGGAGGGGTTGTGTGGGGGGCGGCTAAATGGGTAAGGGGCAGTAGGAATCTACTCCTGAAATCATTGTTGCACTATATGCTAACTAATTTGGATGTAAATTTTAAAAAATAAAATTAAATTTAAAAAAAAAAGAAACTCATATTAGTGGATT